CTACTGCGTGGTCCAGGCGCATTTCTGCCAAAAGCCGCTGGGTTTCAAGATTTGTTTCTGAGTCTCTGGGATCAAGGCCGTTAAGCAGCTTGATCAGGAGCCAGAGAGGCCGTTCGTGGGTGATGACTTGGGGTCTCATTGGGACAGGGAGGACAGGATGGGCTCCACCCCTATCCCGTGAGGCCCAACAAGTTTCGTCACTGCGGGCCCAAGCCTGACTGTCCAATGGCCTCTGGAGGATGACGGCCACCAAGCTGCCAAGCGGGAGCAGGTGGAGTGACAACACCTTTTGCCCCCTGGGGTGGCCCGGCGACAGTAACCTACTGTGGGGTCTGGACGCTTTTCTGCCCAAAGCCACTGGGTTTCGAGATTTGTTTCTGAGTCTCTGGGATCATGGCCGTTAAGCAGCTTGATCAGGAGCCAGAGAGGCCGTTCGTGGGCGATGACTTGGGGTCTCGTTGGGATGACATCCTCCTCTTCCCCAAGGACAGAACTGGCTCCACCCCCATCCCGTGAGGCCCCGCATGTCTCGTCACTGCAGGCCCAAACCTGACTGTCCAGTGGCCTCTGGAGGATGGCGGCCACCGGGCGGCCAGGGGGAACAGGCCAAGTTACAAAACCTATTCCCACCTGGGTAGGCCCAGCACCAGTAACCTGCTGCAGGGACCGGACGCATTTTTGCAAAATGTCGCTGGGTTTTGAGATTTGTTTCTGAGTCTCTGGGATCATGGCCATTAAGCAGTTCAATCAGGAACCAGAGAGGCCATGCCTCCAATTATATAGCTGAGCCAGAGGTGGTTTGTGGGTGTGTCTCCCACATACCTAACTTTTGACCATTTACTTTCTTGGTAAACTTTGCCCCAAGTTTTTGGGGTCTGGCCAAAGGCACAGCAGCAATTTGGGGGTATCTGAAATTCTGAAGGCGCCATCAGGCTGCTGATGTACTTGCCCCACAGGTAGAGATTGACCTGCTGGCAGCACCATACCCCCTTCATGTAGTTTTTCTTTTAAACATTTTCTGAAATTAAAATCAATCATGTCAGGAACACTTTGGGGTGTCTATTATGGCATATGTCTCTAGAATTAAGTTGATCCTTATTTTTCACAGACGCCATCATTTGTAAATTTTCTTATTGGCAAAAATTTATTTATAACTGTAGAATTAATCATTGTGGTACTGTGATAATCATTCAGAGTAGCAAAACATTTAAGTTGTTCAACAAACACATTCACATTCTCCCTTCTTGTTTCAGTTCTCATAAGTGTCCATTTCATAGTCTAATGCTTTTTTGTGCATTTTTCTGTTTTGTTTTGTAGGTGATCTCATTGTTTAACCTGGTTCTTAAATGCATTGTTTAAGTGCTATTTAGTTTTCTTAAGTACAAGAAGGCTGTTATATATCTTATAGAAAAAAATTCATGTATTAAATAACCTTCCTTCAGGCATGAGCTACATACCGTTAGACCTGAGTTCAGAATTAATGAATTAGTGTTGAACGCAAACTACAGAAAGAAAGGATTTGTATCTATCATTCGATTAAAATACTGTGACTTATTTGAGACCTAATAGAATCGTATTGCTGTGTTCTAGGAGCAATGATTCAGTGTTTGAGGTGATTTTGTAGATTGGAACTACTGCAGATAACAAGAATCAGCTATACTTAGTTGGATGATATAATCCTTTTAGTATATGTATTTCCACACAGGAAGTTTGCGATTATAATCATATTTTAGGCTTCTTTCTTCCTCCTAGAACAACATTTTTCTCCTTTAAAAATTTTTTTTGAAGTAAAACATGCACAGAAAGGTACACAAACATTCGTGGAGAGTTCCATTTTTATTTATTTTTCTTTTCACAAGATGTATGTATTTTTTATAACCAGTAAGCATATCTCAAAATGGAACATTTCTAGTAGTTCATAATCCCCTGTCTTGATTCCTTCCCCCCATACGTCCCCAAAGAACAGTCAGTCATGTTGCAGGTCTGTTTTTTTTTGGGGGGGGAGGAAGGGGGCTAGACACTGAGATGGTAAATTCTCACAGGAAAATTTTTCATGAAAATTGTTTTTAGGTCAACACTTAAGAGTCGGTGAAAGAGGATTAGGGAGAGGGATTGGGTAGGTTGCAATTTAGCCACTACAGAGGCCTCAACTGCCCCCACAAAGTACTTTGAAGCTGAGACAGCCCTACAGCGTTGTTAATTGGAACAAGGATATTGGGCCTCAGTACTCTCACATAAAAACAGCATTGAATTTGGATTAACATGAAGAAAGAATAACCTTAAGAAAAGGGGGTTTCTGTAGTCTAGGTTGATTAACTCCTGGAGCAGACTGACAGTTGAGGGCAGTCAGCCAACAGCCATGCCAGGTCTGAGGAATTAAGCCAAAGTGAAATGTGCGTAGTTCAGCAGAGTGCTACTACAAACCATTATCCTTCTAGCAGCATAGATTAACATGTTTTTGAACTCTGGATTATGCAATTTTTCCCTTTTATCTATGTCTCTTCACTCAGTGGTGTTTGTAGAATTCACCCATGTGGTACTCTGTAGTAAATAGTTTATTAATTCTCATTATTCTATGACTGTGCTACAACTTGACTGTGTAGGGATGGGTTTTACATCTTTCTTCCTTAAAATAACCTGTTTTTCTGTTTTGGGGCCACATAATTTTAAAAAAACTGTATTAAAATTATGTTGACTTATTACACTATGTAAGGTTAGGGCCAGAGAGATAGTACAGTAGGCATTGTGCTTGTCTTTCATGCGGCCAGCATGGATTTGATCCCTGGTACGCCTGGCAAGAGTGATTCCTGAAGACAGAGCCAAGTGTATGTCCTGTGGACTGCCAGGTGTGGCCACTCCCAAAACGACAACCAATATAAAACACAACAACAACAACAAAAACAAAAACCCCAAAACATATAGGTTTCAGGTTTACAGCCTTAATAAATCACTATACATGTACATTGTGTTCCTCCCCAGAATTCTAGTTTCCATCTACAACAGTTATGTGATTTTTTATCACACTCATAACCTCTTCCCTTTTGGTAAATATTTTTAAGCCTCTGGTAAGAAAGTTCATTTTTGATTTTGTTGTTGTTGCTGTTCATTTATTAATTTGCCGCATATAAGTGAAGTCATATGTTATTTGTCTTTCTCTATCTCATTTATTTCACTGAACGTACACTCAAGTTCAATCTTTGTTATTTTAAATGGCAAAATCTTGTCTCTTTTACAGCTAATTATAAGATTCCACTGTGTGCATGTAACACATCTTTTTTATGCAGTCAACTTTCCAGAGATGTTTAGTTTTTTTCCAGAACTTGGCTATTGTGATTAATCCTGTGATAAATTTTTAAAGCTTCTGTTTTTAAATTTTTCCCCTTTAAAAAAATTTAGTCACTGTGAAATTACAGTTATTCATGATTGAGTTTCAGGCATACAATGTTTCAACACAAATCCCTTCACCAGTTTCCAATTCTTTATACCAATACCCCCCACTCCTCTTTTCTATTTGCCTCCCATGAGATACAATTTTTAAAATAAGTTTTAAAATAAAAATTGTATTTGAGATATACAACCTTATGGTTGTATAAGATATACAACCTTATGGTGTATTTGAGATATACAGTCTTACTCCCCGTGACATATTCAATATACCAAAAACCAGTAACAATGATGAGTCTCATTCTCCTGACCCTGAAAGAGCCTCAAATGTGGCACTTTTTAAAATCTCAGGGGTAGGACAAAGGAGACGTTCCTGGGGTCTGCTTGAGGCAATCGATGAAAAACAGGATGATATTGACAGTGACAGTGATGGTGTTTTTATATACTACAATCAAGCAAGTGACCATATACCCCTTCTTATATAGTTATCTTGTGTGTCTATTTGTGGGGTGGTGGGGGAGATGTGTGTTGTGGGAGCTCCTGATGGTTCCTTTCTAAGCACCTTCCCAGTATATTCAATACAGTGTTTGTAATCATAATCCTCTTGCTGTGCAGTGGATTCCCAGAATTAATTTGTCCTATGTAACTGCAACTTTGTACCCTATGGCTAACATTTCCCTATTTTCCATACCTTCTGTCTTCTGGTAACCCTCATTCTACTCTCTGTTTCTATGTATGCCATTTTTTGAGAACCCACTTTTTAGTGAGATCATGCAGGTTTTGTATTTCATTATCTGGCTTATTTCACTTAGCATCAAGTCTTTCAGGCTTACTTGTGTCACAAATGTCAGGATCCCTTTGATGAATGGTGAATTTACACAAAGGTATGTATAGGCATGCATATATTTATTTATCCTTACAGTTTTGTGAGGCAAAAATAATTTATCATTTCCCACATGAGGAAACTTGAAGTTTGAATATAAACAACTACCAAGATCACATAGAAACTGTACTAGAGTAATAATCTGATTCTCAAGTGCTTTACTCGCTGCACTATCTCTTTGACCCAAATTTTATTATTACATATTTTATTAGATTTTAGATATTACTGTGTTATACCATTTGTGTGTCTAAGTGGATATAAATCTTGCTTTAGTTTAAAATTAGTCCTAATTATAGTAAAATTGGGGACATGGACTGAAGGTAATTCAGCTATTTGGTTCTTGTTATTGTTCTTACACAAAAAATTTTTCTGAATAAGCATTTCAGTAATGTCTGGATACCCCTTGCTATTTTTTTCTTTCTCATGATTTAGCTGTGCATTTTAAGTACCATTATTATTTTGTTTTTGGGTCGTATCCGTGGTGTTTATGGCTTGCTTCTGTGTCTGTCTATGTTCAGGGATCACTACTGGTGGGCTCAGGGGACCATATGGGTTGTCAGGAATTGAACCTGGGCTAGTTGTGTGTAAGGCAAATGACGTACCCTCTGTACTCTTGCTCCAGTCCCATAAATAACTCTTTACTATGTGATGTGTTTTATGTTAGCTAAATATATATATATGTATATATATATATATACATATACACACACACACACCTTTTTTCCAAGGAAGAACCAGATAGGAGCAATTAGGGTGTTGTGAGCCCTAACACACAGGCATTAATCACTAATCATGACGACTCCAATCATCATGTTCTATCTGCTCCCCTAATAGAAGAACAGGTAAGAATCATTCAACCTGACGATCTAATTATATATATATTTTTGTTTTGTTTTTCTTTTTTCTTCTTTTTTTAATCTTTTTTCTCTTTGTTATTTTCTTCTTTGTTTTTTCTAATTATATATTTTTTAAGAAAGAAAAAACATACAGCTATTTTGACCATAAATGCTAAACAGGCATTATATCATAATGTTAAAGCAGATGGATAGTGATCTAATCTTATGGATGGTGTGTAAGAATAGCATGCCAACCACCAGAGGTCTTCTATTTTACAGCTCTTTAATTGAGGTGTTACCTCAATTTGTTGCAGGGAAGGAATCAGAAAGGATGCAGCAAGGTCAAAAGTAGATGGAGAAAAGTAGGTGAAAGGAGATGAAAAAAGGAATGCAGGCTTTTATATACATTATGTATCCATATCTCTTAGTTGTGTCTATTATTAGATTGGTTATATCCTAAGAGATCATCTGATTAAACCAACCTGGTTGCATATGCAAATAAGAGAATAATGTTTGTGGGGACACTACCATCTTATAAGGGCATGTGAAATGATGTCATTATTCCTTATGCAAATAGGTCTGGAGGGTGACCAATCATATCATATGTCCTTTTATGGGTATGTGGGGGCGAATAAGGTTTGGAGGTTTGTGCAAATAAGGTTTGGAGGACGACTTATCAGATTGTATATGTAAATTGGGGTTTGTAATATGATCCTTCAACATTCTACTCCCTCCCTCCTTTTTCTAAGTACTTCTTTTGCTTGTTTCATCCAGAACAATAGCACCCAGGACAGGCCATGGCATGCAGAGATGCTTAATAAATATGGACACATTTCTAAAATGAACAAAGGAAGAAACAAACCACTCAAAAACAAATGAATGAAATCTATGCTCTGAATCTAGTGTCAATCTAGGCAAAGAAATAACTCAAAATACTCATCTTCCAAATAGCACAATACCCAGCAGAAATCCACATTTTTTCCATATTGATTTCCCTGGTTATTTCTTATCACAGCCTTTATGTATAAGTCTGTGAATATATATACTAGCAGTGCTCAAAACATCTCCAGTTATAGCAAGTTGTATAACTAAGGGACCGAATAACTTTACTGAAGGAGATTTTCTATGTAAGAACTCTTCACTCTTCAAAGACAGACATTGACAAGAGAATAATATTGAGCTTATGAAATATGAATGTATATAGAGAAAATTATCTTAGACTTTATTTTCAGATTCTAAAATGAAGATTCACTCTTTGAATGTTGACAAAGACAGTTAAGAATAAGTTAAGGGCAGCAATGTATACTTTCACAGAGTAGAGCATGAAAGTGAAGGACATGTTTCCCCAGGAAAAGTGTATAGCCTATAAATACATCCAAATTTAATAAAGTGTTAGATGAAAGTCATGGAAAATGAAGTGTAAGACATATAAGGGATGTACAGGAATGAATTTATCAGGCATTAACTTATCTTTTGAATTTAATAGAGACAAATGTACCAAATAAGTTATACCATCAATTCCATTTCCATTAATGTGGTCCATTATGTATGTGTGTTATGTTCCTGTTTTAATGAAAGTGAGTGACAGCACATGCTTTTTGGCAAATGTGATAAAAAGGTTATAAATAGAATATAAAGAATGAAAGAACAGTAATGTGTGAAGTATGTATAATTCTGTGGATCCATATACTAAAAGTTACATTTGGATTACACATTGACCCCTTGGTACTATCCTGATTCTTTTCAAGCATCACCATCAAATTATACCATAGAATTTAAACTTCTGGTCGGGTTTCATTGTCATATGACCCCATATGTTGTAGGTAGGAAGGAGAAAGGAATGAGGTAGTGGTTGTAGTCTCTAGGGAAGGAAAAGATCTTTAAATGTCAGAAACGCTTTTTAGGGCCTAAAGTAAAGGCATGGTTTTCATTTGATCGGCTGATGTTTACAGTTGAGAAAGAAAATACATTTTTAGATAGTTCTAGGTTAGGAAACAAGCGTCAACTTGTTTTATCGTTTCTAAAATTGTTAGTAACCTTTTCAGTCTCTGATACTAAATAAAATTGTTTCTTGTAATACTGAGTAGCCTTAACTACATATTACATTTGTTATTTTAAGTAAAAACTCGCAAAGCTATATTTTATAAGTAGAATGTCAAATTATTGCTTCTCATCTGTATTTTAAGTTTTAATTTCCAAAGGGAATTATTTTATGTAAAGTTAATTGCAGAAAATAACTTAAATCATTTTCATATTATTATCAATTCCTTTAAAATCACAAACGTATGTTTCTTATATATAAAACAAGAAGAATATTTTCCTATTATGTTCACATACCTATGGTTTACATTTGCAGTAAAAGATATATGCATTATTGTTTTATCAGGAGTAGAAAAAATACTTTCTCAAAGTTATAGAAATATGGTACATAAATATTGAAAATATTTACAAAGATACTTCAAAATAGTGTATATAAATAAAAGTTGATTTTTTTATGTAGGAGTACTGCTATTTATTCAGCCACTTATTAGCTGATTGATTTGGGCATGAACTCTACCTTACTTTTTTTTCATAGTTTTATTTTTATTTATTTTTCTTATATTTATTTATTGAATCACTGTGGGAAAAGTTACTAAGCTTTCAGGTTTAAGTCTCAGTCATACAATGATCAAACACCTTTCCCTTCACCAGTACTCATTTTTCACCACCAAGAACCCCAATATACCCCCCTCCCACCCCTTCCAATGCCCGTGAGGCAGATGATTTCCACTTAACTCTTCTCTACATTGATTACATTCGTTATTTTGACAAAAGATGCACCATTATTGTTTAGAATTCCCCCCCCCCCAACAATCAGAATTGCTGAAAAGGCATTGTGAAATACTTTGTTTTCTATACCTGGTTATGAGAATCACATAATGGTTTTGGATTTCTGCAAAGAGCCAGATAACTACGAGATTGGTTTCTGTATGCCTGGAGTCATGGCTGTGTCAGAGAGCTGCTTGTGGGGGGCAACTCGTGGCCTCAGGAGGGCATGAAGATGAGCTGGTACTGCCCCTCTTCCCATGAGACTGCTGTTGCCCTGTCACCACCGGCTCATACCTGGCTTTCCTATAAGTTCTGAGGCAGTGGCCACCTTGCTGCCAGGGGAAAAGAGCAACACCCTTTCCCTCCCTGGGAGGCATGGTCCATTCACTTTTCTGCCGCAAGCTACTGGGCTCTGGATTAAGTCCTTTTGCCTCTGGAGCCATGGCCATGCCGGAGAGCCACTCGTGGGGGGCAACTTGTAGCCTCGGTAGGGCGTGAAGGACGAGCCGGTACCGTCCGCCTTCCCATGTGACTGCAGTTGCCCCTTTGCCGCTGGCTCATACCTGGCTTTCCAATAAACTCTGAGTTGGCCACCTTGTATGCGGTCCAGATGCATTTCTGCCAAAAGCAGCTGGGTTTTGAGATTTGTTTCTGAGTCTCTGGGATCATGGCCGTTAAGCAGCTTGATAAGGAGCCAGAGAGGCCGTTTGTAGGCAGCGACTCGGGGTCTTGCTGGGATGAAGAGGAAAGGGACGGTTCCACCCCCATCTGGTGAGGCCCCGCGTGTCTAGTCACTGCAGGCCCAAACCTAACTGTTCAGTGGCCTCTGGAGGATGGCGGTACCGGATCGCCAAGGGGAACAGGCTAAGGCATGAAACCTATTCCCACCTGGGGTGGCCCAGCCCCAGTAACCTACTGCAGAAACAGGACACATTTCTGCCAAAAGCCTTTGGGTTCCGAGATTCGTTTCTGAGTCTCTGGGATCATGGCCATTAAGCAGTTCAATCAGGAACCAGAGAGGCCATGCCTCCAATTATATAGCTGAGCCAGAGGTGGTTTGTGGGTATGTCTCCCACATACCTAACTTTTATTTTCCTTAAATTTTTATTAGTGAAACACCATGAGGTACAGTTGTAGACTTACAAATTTTTGTGCTTGGGTTTCAGTTATACAATGATCGAATACCCATCCCTCCACCAGTGCCCATTCTCCACCACCAACAGTCCCAGTATCCCTCCCACCCCCTTTACCCCCATCCCACCCTACCACTATGGCAGGGCATTCTCTTTTGTTATCTCTCTCCTTTTGAGTGCTGTGGTTTGCAAAAGAGACATTGAGTGGCAGTCTTGTTCGGACTATAGTCTACTCTCATCACGCATTTCCCATCCTGAGAGGAACCTCCCAACACCCTTTATTTGGTGCTCCCTTCTCTATCTGAGCTGCCTTTTCCCCTAGTGTGTGCGGCTGTCCTCAAAGCCATGGAGTAATCCTCCTGGTACTTGTCTCGGCTATTCTTGGGTGTTAGTCTTCTATTTTGTTACTTTATTACTTTGAACCTGCAATAGTAGAAATACTTCTACTATTTTGTTCCCCAGATGAATGCAATCTTTCTATGTCTATCCCTCTCTTTCTGACTCATTTCACTTAGCGTGATACTTTCAATGTAGTACCACTTGACACATACCTAACTTTTGGCCATTTACTTTCTTGGTAAACTTTGCCCCAAGTTTTGGGGTCTGGTCAAAGGCACAGCAGCAATTTTGGGGTATCTGAAAGTCTGATGGCGCCATCAGGCTGCTGATGCACTCGCCTCACAGGTACAGATTGACCTGCTGGCAGCACCATACCCCCTAAAATTGATTTATTTTTAAATAGGATTATCAGGGTTTGTTCTTTGTTTTTTTTTTTGTAGGAGTACTGCTATTTATTCAGCCACTGATTAGCTGATTGAATTGTGCATGAACTCCGCCTTACTTGTTTTTTTTTTCATTTTTATAATTTTATTTATTGAATCACTGTGAGAGCAGTTACAAAGCTTTTGGGTCTAAGTTTCGGTTATACAATGAAACACCCGTACCTTCACCAGTGCCCATTGTCCACCACCAAAAACCCTAGTATACCCTCATCCCACACCCTTCCCCCACCTGTGGGGCAGATGATTACATATTACTCTTTCTCTACTTTGATCACATTCAATATTTCGACACCAGATCCACCATTA